GACACAGGCCGGGCCATTCTAGAGAAAAGGCCCGGGCGAAGCATGTCTTCCTAAAGCTAACTGAATTGAACTTCCCCCTTCCTTTATTCATTCTTCATCTCCTGTCACATCCTAAAGCGTGGGAACCGTGCTGAAAGGATGAAAGGCGGGCTAAATGTCGACAATACTGAATTAGACAAGACTGATAAACCTTTCAAGCTGCTAATTAACCCGGAGAAGGTCGAGTAAGGGGGGAAGTGGAGCGAGTTCAAGTGAGAAACCACTAGATCAGGGTTTCCTAACCTAGGGATGTTTTCTGGGGCTATGAAGCAAAACACTAATTATGACTAGGAATGAAACTGGATACTGTCTCACATACAGTACTTACAGATAATTCTCTCTCGCATATCAATAAATTTGAATATTTCCTTGTGCTATTGTCCTATAGATATTAGCCTCATTACTCTATTCGCAAATAGCAGTACTGAAAAGATGGAGAACCAGCGCATTAGATGGAAGTCATTTTTAAGGGACTCGACCTACGGAGAAATACTCCAGAAAATAAAATTATCTGTATTAGAAAATGAAACGATTAGCCTATACTTTACAAATACACCTCAGTACCAAGAAAATTAAGCAGTTAAATATTTGTAATTTCCAAGAAAAGCAGAACGAAATGAAAAGTTAAGAGAAAAACGTGACGACAAAAAAATAAAAAAAAGAAAAAGAAAATTAATTCTATTTTCAGCGCAACTATCGATGACTCGAACGACCTTCCAAAAGAGACTTATAGATATATACAGTAGTAAAAAAGATATTTAATAATCTATACATACCACATGGAACACCCGAAATACAACTGTTATGCCCATATTTAGATTAGGTAAACCTTGCATTCTCATTACACACATGTAATCTTTTTTTTTTTTTTATCTTTTCTATCAGTTTCCAGTTATCTAGTCGAAGGTCAATGTAACATCATAAAAAAATACCACATATTTTCTCTCCTTATGTAATCAGCATATTGAAAAAAAACGATAACTGATTAAAGATAACAAAGTGACAATCATAATATTTCAATGCTGGTTTATATCCATTAATATTGTTGCGTCTTTGAAAGGATAAAACATAATTGTATTTATGCTTCGATAGTGGTAACATAAGTGTTATCATCCTCATAATCATTTAAGTATTGTTGTTATCATTATCGTCATCATCATTATTATTGCGATAAAGACACTAGTGATATCATTGATACAATCATTATTAGTATCATTAATAATGTATATAGTGATGATAGTAACAATAGTGATAATGATAATAGTAATCATTCTAATGGTTATAATTAATATTGTTATTATCATTATTATCATCATTATTATCATTAGTATTAGTATTAGTATTATCATTAGTATTATCTTCATCATCATCATCATCATCATCAATTTCATTATCATCATTATTATTATTATTATTATTATTATTATTATTATTATAATTATTATTATTATTATTATTGTTATTATTATTATTAATATCAATATTATTATTATTATTATTATTATTATTATTATTATTATTATTATTATTATTATTATTATTATTATTATTATTATTATTATTATTATTATTGCTATTATCATTATCATTATATATATTATTATTAATATATATTCTTTTTTATTATTATTATTTATTATATTATTATTATTATTATTATTATTATTATTATTGATATTATTATTTATCGTTATTATTGATGTTGTTGTTGTTATTGTTATTTGCTGTTGTTATCGTCATCATCATCATCATCATCATTTTCATTCGTTTGAACTTACTATTCCTCTTGTAAGTGTTGTTATATTTTATCATAATTATCATCATCATTTCAGACGCATCGTAATCATCATGGGCGTCATCATAGACATCGTCATTATAATTATTGTCATTGTGAAGATGATCATGATATATCGTACGGACATACGTACATACTGAAATAGATACATATCTGTCAATATAGATATGCATGTATACTGGATAAATAGATAAATGTATATCTATATCAGATAGATGGATATTAATTTATTTCTGTGAATATACATAATTATTATAAGGTCAGGTCTCGCACAAATTTATCAAAAATGGCCGATTATCACTATTACAACTATTATTGTTATGGTATTATTATTTGCTATTATCAGTGTTATACATCATTAACATATTTTTAAAACTATTAATGTTGATCTCAGTAGCATAATCATTTCAATATTACTATTTGTATTACATATATTTATTTTACATTTATTAGCATTAGTTTAGTACTTTATAGTGAACACTATTCTCGTTCATGAATATAATTTCTATTATCATTTCACGCTGTAATATTTTTTTTTTCTTAAACAGAGAATTGTTGTCGTACAATCAACACTTTATCTGGTGCCAGGATGATATCAGATAAGACTTATAACTCACTTGTCAGCTTTATCTCCACTTGCCTTAATATCTGATTTACCTTGGAGAGCAAACATCGTGCGACAATAACGAGAAAGCAAGTGGAATGAAAAGTATAAATGAAAAACCTGGAGAAAGTGTTTTATCGTTTTATCTCTTGTCATTTTTCGTTGTTATCTGTGAATAGCAGATTTCTAAGCTACGTTATGAAATATTCAATTAATAATGACTAATGTGCACATATATACATACATACATATACATATATATATATATATATATATATATATATATATATATATATATATATACATAACCATAATGAAGTAAGACTTTTGCCTCTAGGCGAACGACGATGTGCGAACGCATATTTGCAAAGACAAATGTAAGCGATAAAACTTATGTTCTATGTAATTGTATTCATCATTTCTAAAACTTCCCATTCCCTTCTTTTATAAAAAAACAGTTTTAATATAATTAATTATGAAACGAATAGTTAATTACAGTAGTCGGGGTAATGTGTGCGATAAAGTACAGTGACAGAAAACGCGCATTAATCTTGCCATGGTTTGTTGATACCAAACAGCTGATTTCCTTCAGTTACGTCCCACTCCCAGCCGCACTAGTGTGAAAACACCACCCGCATCTCACGTGACGTATTATCAGCGGTGGGAGCCTCAGTCCCTCCACAGCTCGCCTCGAAATGGTGGAAATTACGTCTTCTCACGAAGAAGATTCTCTGCACGGAGAGAGTTTGCCTCCTCCGCCGGATATGAACGAGGATAATGATGTAATTGAGGAGCATGTTGGAGGAATAGGAGGCGAGGTTAGTAAAGGGGAAGGGGAGGATTATCGTACCACCATTGCATATTCTAATACTCATATATGGTGCTGTTCAGGTGAGAGAGTAGCAATGGAATTTACATTAATAGGCATGTATTAGGTACGTATGTAGTACATGATCAGTTTTATTTCTGAATTCCAGTATTGTGCATAGAGTAGACGTATCTATTTATAAAAAGGATCTGGGTATTTTTTTTCTAATGGTTCCACTTAACGGATCGTGATGGTTTTTGTATTCCTCTCACTCTCTAGTTTCCAAATATATATAAATTATTGAACAGAAACCCCCTGAACCCCCACATTCTTGGCCTACATATCAGGGGAAGACATGAAAGGTGCCAAGAAAATTGCAGGGGTAAGAAACGAATAATATGATATTTTCCGTGTCAGATTGGTTCTGTTGAGTGTCATTTGATTTCCCGCATACATCAGCCGCTACAAATCCGTCCGATTTTCCGTCGCTCTTAACGACTTTTTGTCATTTTGTCGTGGCATTAGAGGCATAACGTTACTGTGGCTCCTGAAAATTGTGGAATTTATACCCTCCATAACACTGTTATTATAGATTTGTGCAGAAAATGGTATAGAAGAAAATTTTCATAGAATGATGTGTTCTACCACATGATAAGTTCAGATTCTTTAATTAGGTGTGGGGTTGCAGATTATTCATATTATACCCTGCAATTTTACTGGTACCTTTCATACCGTCCCCTGCTATTGGGGCCAAGATTGTCGCTAATGGGGGGTTGGGATGGTTTCCGAGCAAATAGAACCTACATTTTTGCATTGTAGATGGTAATGGGAATCCAAGGATACTGAAATTGTCATGATCCGATATGTGGATGTAATAGGAAAAATTACCAGGATTTGTTTAAGAGTATTGTAACTTCACTGAAGAATTGATGTTTATCCATTAGGTGGTTAGACTTTACAATTTAAGAGTAAGGACATATAACTGAAATTTAACATCCATTATATCCTTTCCAAGTGGCAGTTTTCCAAATTGGTGCACTTCAGAGTAAACAAGTACACATCATTCATAGACAGATTAAAATTAAAGTAATTGGTATAAGTATCATATTTCTATATATCAAAGTACTTCTTTCATTTTCAGTATGTGCAGAAATGTCAAAGATAGCCTATACTGCTGTCATAAAATCTCATTGTCATACAGTAAACTATACCAAAAATTTTTGCCACTGGAGGTTATATAGGTTACAATACAGCTAATGTATGATTGAAGCATCTTTAAGATTTAATGGTACTCAAAGGGGCACATCAAGTTTTAGTCTATGGAAATTGACACCTACTTTTACATGTTTTCATTCAGTAATTTTTACAATACAGGCACACTCTCCAGAGACCGTCCCCAACTAAATGTCACAAAATTTATTCAACAATCTGAGTTGCCGCAATTGGGTGTGCCCTTCAGTCACTGCTAGAAGGAAGGTTGATGGAGGGCTCTGTCCCCCAACAGCACCTGTAAACATTGTCTTTATCTCATATGCGCAGCAAGATAGAGCTGAAACTTGATTGGACCACATGGACTTTCTGCGATCTATTTCCTGTATTTTTGTGGTGTAATCGTTCATGTCTGCAGATTATTTCCTGTATCAATGACTACAACTGCTTTTCCTCTACATTTTCCCCTACCTGAGTGTGTCCTTACCGCAAAGATGTTTTACAGTAGGCAAAAGGGTAATTTTTTAGCTTTACACAGGGAAAGTATAATTAATTGTTTATGAAGTGACTGCACCTATTACTCCATCTACTCCTGGATTCCACACACATTGCCATATGAATTAAAACTCCTATTGGAGGCTTGACTCCTGAGCCCCACCAGATCACCAGAGACAGTCTCTGCACTGCATTTCTTGCAAACCTTTTTTTTCTTCATTTCTGATGTTATTCTTTACCTGCACAGGATATTTTATGTATCACTGAGTGTGGTTACTAGATTTTCATCAGATTTTCCCCAATCTTTGTGCAGTTGTATAGATATATACTAAAGTACTTCATATTGCCCAATTTTGTTTTTGTCAACTTGCATAGTCAATATTGTAGATGAAAAGTGTCATATTTTTTGTTGTTCTGACCATTACAGGCAAAGTTTACCTGTATTATATGGCTGTGTGAAACTGAAACCATACCAGCAAAAGTTAAGCACAGGCTACATAATTTGTATCCCCCTTCCCTCTCCCAAGCCAGGTAGATGGAGTGAAGGGTGCCTACATAAAAAGTAACAGTTCACAATGAAAAATCATTAGGTTTACCTAATGATATAAAGATACATAGGAAAACATGCATTTTGTCTCTTATAGTCGTATATTATAGATATATGAAAATAGATCTGAAATGATGCAGACCATAAGATAACAGTGCTGATTTTTATTACTATTAAGAAAGTAATAGTATCAAAGAAATTCATGCATTTGCAATGTAGCTTATAGAATCTATTTTACTTTGAGTGAATTCACTGCAATAATTAGAGTGTTAATAAGGAGAAAAAAATGCAAAACAAATCCTGAAAGTCTTATTTATAACCATGTATTTGAAAACACATACATAGAAATAAATATGGTATTTAGAAATTCTGCTATTAACCCCAGAATACTTTCAGTGTGAAGATATACAGCTGACAGGATGTGGAGCATCAGCATGTTGCGACCCCAGGAAAGGAGTCTACAGGTTTAGTGCCCTGTTCTTCATGTGCTTGGGCTTTGGTAAGTTTTTCACTGTTATGAAGGAAAAATTATAGTGTCTAGCTTCACATGGAATGTAATAATGGAAGAAGTTAGTTTGAGAAGAAAGGATTTTCCAGATCAAAAATTCATATATATATATATATATATATTATATAAATATATTTTATATATATATAATATATAATGTACATATACATAAGTATCATTGGTAATGTATGGTACATATTGTAGATGACATATAAATAGAGTAGATAATATATATATATAGGATATATATATATATATAATATATATATATATATATATATATATTAATATATATATATATATAGAATAGACACACTCGCACACGCAAACACACACGCACACACAAACCACACCGCACATGCACAAACACAACACGCACATGCAAACACACACGCACGCACACGACACACGCACACGCACATCCACACACACACGACACAATTCACAACACACACGCACATTACACATTACACGCACTTACACACCGCACAACACACACGCACGCACACACACCACACCACAGTGCAGACATACGGACACACTGCACATCACCTGACACTGCACGAGCACACACACACGCACATGCACACACCGGCACATGCCACATGCACCAACACACACACACGCAGATGCACACACACAGCACATGCACACACACAGCGACATTCACACACACACGCTCTACATGCACACACCACGCACACATTCCACACCGGCACATGCAGACACACACACACGCACACGCACACACACACGCACATCACACACACACACGCACACACAACACACACGCACATACACACACACACACACGCACATACACACTCACACACACACGCACATACACACACAAACACACACGCACCATACGCACACACACAACTTACACACGCACATGCTACATACATAACACACACATTTACATACCATACACATAACACAACACATACATGCACTACATACATACAATACATCACATACATACATACATACATACATGGCATACATACATACATGCAACATCATACACATACGCATACACACATACATATATATAATCATACATAAATATGAACATATATAGTGCTATATATGTATATATATATTATATTATATATATAATATATATATATATATATTATATAATATATTATTATATTATTTGTGTGTATATATATATATAGTCTGTGATATATATATATATATATATATTATATATATATATATATATAGTATATAGATAGATTAGATATAGATATAGATTAGAATATAGATAGATAGATAGATAGATAGATAGATAGATAGATAGATAATAGGATAGATAGATAGATATGATAGATAAAGATATGCATATATGTATAGATATGCATGGACTAATATGGCATATTATAGATATGCATATGTATAGATATGCATAATGTATAGATATGCTTATATTTATATAATAATTATATTATCTATGGATACTAATATATATATATATTATATAATTATATATATATATATGTCATTATCTGTTTATCTGCTTTAATTTGAGTGCGGATAAGGGATTATTTATGTATGAGTAAAAATGGAATTATATGTGCATAAAATAGATGTAGATAGTTTTAACAGTTTCTTTACACACCCTCTTAAGCCTAAGTACTGGTAGAGAGGTGAATGGATTAGATAATGTTACAGATTGTTTTTTTTTTTGTGTTGTGTGTAGTGTGACAATTAACTTATCTTAAGAACCGATGCAGACCCAAACACACGCACAGACACAGAAACACACACCCACGACCATTGCCAGATTTATAATAAGGGCAGAAGGGCACTTGCCAAGGACCATTTATATTTGAATTCATGATAATCAAGTTTAAGAAATCCATTAGAGATTTTTCAGATACCAAGTGTAGAAATAAAGACTTTATTTGGACATTATGATGTAATATCTGTAAATTAGTGAAGGCTACATAACAAAATTTAATTTTTTTATGTTAATTGTCTAGTGGGTAAACGACGCAGATATGATGCATCATTGTTCCATTTCTTTTCCCCTTAAAAATCTACTTGGAGCTTATGGACATATATTTACATGTATGCTTGTATTTTCTTTATATATACTAATACATGTACCCTCTCCTTGAACCCATGTGCCCATGTACCTACAAAGACAGGCGCACATAAAGACAGTCAGACATTACAGTATGCACACCAATGCATGTATAGGTATGTCCTTATCTGGTTGGGCACCAGTATAAAGGAACATGAGTGAAATTACATTTACTCACTGACATTGTTGTTACTGGAAGCACCGAGATAGGGTGCTTTTACCTTCCTGTTCTTATGCCATTCCTTTGCCTATGCCAGGTTCCTATTTCTGCTATGACACCCCCGGCTCACTGCAGGACCAGATTAAGGACGACATGGGAGTCAACACGGTCGGATTTGCCAGCCTCTACTCTCTCTACTCGTGGCCCAATGTGGTCCTCTGCTTTATTGGGGGTTTCTTGATAGACAGGTAAAAGTGCAGTAGTAGTGCTGACGTGGGGGTGAGTTGTGAGTATTGAGTGGTTGTGCGGTGTAGTGAGTGTGTGACTGAAGCTGTTGGGTTAAGAGTGAGTGGTAGTTGTGAGTGTGTATGTGTGAGAATGTGTGAGTGGTGAGTATAGTGTGAGGGTAGTATAGTACGGAGTGTGTGAGATATGTAGTGAGTGGGTGAGTATGTTGAGTGGGTGAAGTATGTGAGTGGGTGAGTTAAGTGAGGTGGGTGAGAGTATGTGAGAGATGTGGAAGTGGGTTTGAAGTGTATTAGTATGGTGTGTGGGTGAATGTGTGAGTGGGTGGTATGTGGTGGGTGGGTCGAGTATTGTGAGTGTGAGTATGTAGTGGGTGAGTATGTGAGTGAGTGAGTATGTGGTGGTGGGTGAAAGTTGTGAGTTGGTGCTAGTGAGTAGGATTGGTTGGTATGTAGTCGTGGAGTGACTGTTGAGTATGTGAGTGGGTGAGTATGTTGAGTATGTGAGTGGGTGAGTATGTGAGTGGGTGAGTATGTGAGTGGGTGAGTATGTGAGTGGGTTGAGCTGTGAGGTGTGTGAGGTGATGGTGAAGTGAGATTGGGCGGTAGTGGGCGGAGTTTGGGTGAGCGGGTGAGAGGGGTGAGTGACAGTGTGATGAGTGTGAGTGAATGAGTGTGAGTAGAAGTAAAGTTATCTGTTTTATAATTGGGAAACCAATTTATTGTTTTTAATTTTATGAGTATTTGAAGAATCTGATATGAATGTTTTAATAGAAGGAAGCCAGAAATATTTTGGTCATTTGAGTTTTTGTTTTTTTTTTTTTATTTTTTGTAGATACTATATTTATGGAGATAATATGATATGATTAATGCAAGTTTACTTAATTTACAGAGTGTTTGGTATCCGTTGGGGCACCATCATATTTTCTACATTAGTCACGGTGGGTCAGTTCATTTATGCAACAGGTGCCGTTACAAACCAGTTCTGGTTGATGCAGACTGGACGATTTGTCTTTGGGTAAGTTGTGTAAAGTACTCTCTCTCTCTTCTCTCTCTCTCTCTCTCTCTCTCTCTCTCTCAACTCTCTCTCTCTCTCTCTCTCTCTCTCTCTCTCTCTCTCTCTCTTCTCTCTCTCTCTCTCTCTCTCTCTCTCTCTCTCTCTCTCTCTCTCTCTCTCTCTCTCTCTCTCTCTCTCTCTCTCTCTCTCTCTCTCTCTCTCTCTCTCTCTCTCTCTCTCTCTCTCTCTCTCTCTCTCTCTCTCTCTCTCTCTCTCTCTCTCTCTCTCTCTTTTCTCACCCTCCTCCTCCTCTCCCCTCTCCCCTTTTCATTCCTCCCTCCATCTTTCTTCTTCCTTCCTCCCTCCCTTCTTCTTCTCTCTCTCTCATCCTCCCTTCTTCCTTCTCTCTCATGTTTCTTGAATGCAGCATAAGTAAAGTATTACTGTTGTTGCTATTGAAGCGCTATATAGTTGCATGTAAAGTGTGAAGGATATCAATATAGAAGAGTTATCCATAAACATTATTTAATTCATCCATTAACTGAGACTTAAAATTTTGATAGGGTATTCCCACTACAGGACTTTTCATAGTGCATATAACTCTTGCTTTTATTTTCTTATAACTTTTTTTTTATTTTCATTAGATGGTTTATCAAATGATAATTTCATAACATTAGTATAGAAGGTGCATGGCTTTTCATTGCTTTTGAGACTGGCTTACTCATTAAAGAACTCATGTATTTAGTGATTGTCTTATATTATTTGAATGGGTTATTCTCCAGCAATTTGATTTAATGAATTTGAAGTATGTTAAGGAGAACCATTGTTCATCTGTCATAGTCTGAAAAGTTACATTGTATGTCTGTTATAGAGTCGGTGGTGAGTCCCTTGCTGTTGCCCAGAACACCTACACTGTAAGCTGGTTCAAAGGCAAAGAACTAAACACTGTGTTTGGACTGCAGCTGAGCATGGCTCGTGTTGGCTCCACAGTTAACTTCCTTAGCATGGGTCCTATCTATGCCTGGGTTGATACTTTTGCTGATGGGTACAAGACGCTTGGAATTTCACTCTTAATTGGTTAGTAAGATATTGTCATTCTGATTGTCAGCATCATTCTTATTTTCTATTTTATTATCTTTATGAAAGTCAAATTTGATTTCTTTACCAAGTGGAGGAGTTTAAAAGAATATGAATTACAATTGGTTAATCTTGTACCTTTTGTGCATTGAGGAATTAAATCTTTTAGAAGCCTGTTTTTTTTTTTTTACCTGAAAAGTACAATTTAGGGGTTGGTCAAGGTAAGTTGTGATAAATGTGTGCGAATGTTTATTGTTAGAAAAAACACTTGTCTGGCAAATTTATCTGTCTTTCTCCTTTTAGCCTTGTATGTTATCTGCTTTAAATTTAAATCTTATATTTTTCCACTTCATTCTCTAATTCAAACAGAAGCCAGCCATACAATGAAAAATAACCTCTTTATCTATGGAAAACAAAAATTACAAATGTTGTTCTTTTCTTCCTCCACTCTAATAGCTGGTGCAACTTGTATTTTTTCTCTGATTTGCGCGGTAATCCTTGGCCTGCTTGACAAGAGACGCTCCAAGGTGCTCGGCATTGCCGAGTCTGGAGAAAAGGTGCAGCTTAGGGATATTCTAACTTTCCCACTCTCCTTCTGGCTCCTGTGTGTGATCTGTGTCTCATACTATGTAGCCATCTTCCCTTTTATTGGGCTGGCCAAGTAAGTACCTTTTACGTCAGTTGCTAAAATTATAGTTTGACTTCTTTTAGGTGTTATATTGTTGATTTATGTTATTATAATTATAGTCTCTCTATAGGGGCTATTATAATGATTATGATTGTTAGTGTTTTTGTTTTAAAAATGTTTCAGTCCCTTTCATTAATCATGGAAAGATTTGCTGACACCCTGACCCAAAACAATCCTATCCTTCCCCACAGAGTCTTCTTCATGCGCAAGTTCGATTTCGACGAGGCGAGTGCCAACGGAGTCAGCAGCATTGTCTATGTTATTTCGGCTTTCGCATCTCCTATCCTGGGATATATTGTGGACCGACTGGGGCGCAACATCCTTTGGGTTTTCATTGCCGTGTTGGTGTCGTTCGCTCCTCTGCCCTCTCATGGTGCCATGGTAAGAAAAAAGATGGCCTACAGTTATATGTTTTTATTCCAGAGCTTGAAAAAAAAAAAAGTAATTAAACCTTTTTGCTTTCTCTCTCGCAGAGTGTGTTAGGCTTAGCATACTCTCTCCTGGCTAGTGCACTTTGGCCAATGGTGTCTCTCATCATCCCAGAACATCAACTTGGGAGTGCATATGGCATGTAAGAACATACGGAACATTTTGGTATAGTTTCATATAAATGTTTTAGATTTTCTTTTTTGTTTCTTTAGGTAAGGAAAAGGAAGATTGTGATTTCAATGTATTATACTGTATCACATTACATATTAATATAGTTTTTTATTGAATGATCAAAGGCTTTTATTATATTATCTGTTCTCCACCTCCAGGATGCAGAGTATCCAGAATCTTGGCCTGGCCTTAATCAGCATGTTAGCCGGACTGATTGTTGACTTGAAAGGCTACCTTGTCCTTGAGATGTTTTACATGATATGGCTTTGTGGTAAGTGTTTGATGGCTATATCTTTGGCTTATTATAAATAAGAACATCGTGTTCCTTTACAAAGTTCATGTTTACTTATTTATAGGTTTGAACTTGGTGATTCCTATTTGAGAAATAGTTTCAATTTGATATAATTGATAGGAAGTGTAAGGACTTTGTAGAATCAGTCTGATTATATTTAGAGGTCATTTTGGGCTAGGTGTCGGCAGTAGAGTTGATGTAAGCCTTCAGTGACATCATTAAAGCTTCAGGGTCACCTAGTTACAGGATAAAAATCAGTGCTCCTATATAATTTTTGGGCTCAATTAAACTATTAAGTAGTTGTTCCCATGCTGCAGTATACATGCCTCTATTTGAAGGGA